GTATGTGGCTGTTGGTTCTTTTATTGGATATTCTCAGAGAGGATGATATTTTTAGATCGTTTGAATGTGGTGGCTCGCATTATGTGAGACAATCTAGTTGCATTCTTACGTTGTTAACTGATCGTTCGTCTTTCTGCCAGCAGTAGCATTCTCATTCAATCGTTATCATACACATAAATATAATTAGCCACAAGCCGTACGACAGTCTATAACTGAGGCTCGATAACATCCGTGAGCGGTCCATCTGCCTTAAGATATTTTGCCTAAGGACAGTTTGCCTAAAGACACATTGCCTAACGGATAGTTTGCCTATTAGACGAAATATGCATTAAAATTGTAAGCAATTGAATTTCAGTATGCACGATATCTGAATAAGATAAACGAAGTGGAGCGTGCTCGTGACGTGTATCGTCGTGCCGTCGAGACGCATCTCTCGAACAAATTGAACATTCATTTGGCATATAGCGCTTTTGAAGAGGAATACGGTAATGGAGTTGTTGTTGTGATAATACCTGTGATACGTTTGATACCATTCTTGATATCATCAGCATCATCATCTTTATATGAAATTTTTATGACCAATAATATTTTTGAGTTTCACTCTTTCTCATTCATAAGACTTTATATTTTGATTTATTCATCATCACCACCTCACACCATCGTTCGACACTTCGCATCGCAGTGCATTTATCTCTTTTACAGTAAGTAGCATCAACATTACGTACCTTTAATAGAGTAGGCTTTCGATCATTTTGCTTATGGTTTAAAATCTTCTGGCAGAGAAATCATTGACAGAGTGAAATATGCTAAAGCGTTATTCTCAGTAATGTTTCGATCAGACAGATATACATTTGATTTGACTGTTTGAGCGGTTTTATAGAACATGGGCTGAATGGAAGCAGCATGATATTGAGATCGAAAATAGATTTTAAATACACTTACATTCAGTAAGGTGAGGAAATGCGAGGCTCTTGAAAGAACGAGCATCAGAGAGATATCTGCTAAGCGATGTATATATGAAAGGCGAAATTTTGTAAATAATTATTGCTGAGGTAATGTTTATCGATAGCGTTCTGCCGTAGAAGTTCAGAGAAGGAACTCATTCTAAGTCCAGCCAGAAATTTTGATTCGACTGCATCGAAGTTTCGACTGCTTGGACAACACTGCATCGACAAATGGGTATTGTTGAAGAGCTGGGAGTGGAATCGCATCACTGAGAGCTTTTAAAGGGATGCAGATGACTGACTGAGTTGATTGATTACTTAACAACATTTCACCAGAATATCAGAAATTGTCCACACACTTAACTTCAGCTTTAAAACTTAACATTCCTCAACTCCTATCTCAACACTCGCTAAAATGAGTTTCCTATCGAGACTTCAAACTGAAATTTGGATAAAATTATCGATTTCTCGTTTTTTTTTTCTGAATTGACAACGATCAATCTCTGTATTTTTGAGGCGTGCCGTGCAGTTCAGTTTTCAATTTAGAATGTGCACATGAATTATGCAATTTTATGCAGATCAATTTATGCAGATGATCATTTATATTCGCTGAAAACAACGGTGCACATGACTGTTGGTAAAACTGAGTCGGACATTAAGCGATACTAGAATTGCGCATTGTTGTACCGTGTATTATATATGAGCAAAATCATGCCATGCCATCTGCTGCGCTCAATTCAAAATCTGATGCACAGTGTTCGGATAACTAATCGCATAGTTTCGTGGTTGAGTGTGATACTCGCTCGGATCTTTGGGTCTTTTCAGAAGCGATCATGAAATCAGCCAGAGCAGTGTCCAGAAGAATGAATGATCAAGAAAACCTCTGTTCCAGTAATTGAAATCAGAAGTATTCAAAAGAATCGCGCTATTAAGTTCTATTCCCTGGGGTTTATCAATTAGATTTTGCCATCGCCCGATCGCAATCCCATTCATCTGATTCGATCATTTTCTCAAGAAACTAACCTAAAACTGATTGTCTATAATTATGTATGGCGTGTGCTTGTGTGGTAATGATGATCTCTTGTATCAGCATCAATGCATTTACTGCTTCAAATGCGAATACAAATGTCTTTCGCTATCCGTACATTCACACTTCAAAATCAGACTCAATTTTGATAAGCCCGTCCGTCTCTTCTCAATTTCACAATTTGAAAATCTTCTCGATTTCAAAATATTTCAAAGATATTCTTCTATTGCATTGATCAGCGCGATACCCTTCGCGTCTATCCAAACCATATTAAAAACATTCTCTCTGAAGTTCATTTCACTTATCAGATGCAAAACATTTTCAGCATTTCAGTTTATTCCGTCGTAAGCAACGACAATCTAGCAGAATTGTTTCAGATTACGAGTTCATCAATTAACTTTTTTCTCCAGCGGTTTTTCATTGTTATTTGCGCTCAAACGTCGTTCACTCGCATCTATTCGTATTTATTTCCTTGTAGTTTTGTTCCATCTGTAGTGAAAAAGCTTTGCGTATCCGAACATTGATTGCTTCTCCTCTGAAGACGATAGCACCACTTGTTTTTTAGATGAATGTTAATATTGCATGAATTGACGTCGGCTTCGCTCAATTGTGTGGTTGTCTTTTTGCGTGCTCGGCGGTCGCATTACTCGTTGAAATTCACATGAAAAATTGTGGAAGAAAATGATATTTTATAGGCAACATATAGGATGCGGTACCAGAAATAGAATGGTTTTGTCGCCTCTACTGAAGATCACACAGAGCCATCCATGCATATCTGAGAAGACCATCAGTGATAATTGTGATATTCTTATTGTTGTTTTGTTTGTAACATATTATGTGCGTTTGTCAGTATGTTCAATTGGAAAACATTGGTCGTAGTGAAAAACGCAAATTCATGAGTAGTCTCACAAAAAANAAAAAAGAAACTTTTTATCAAACTGAGTCAGTCCTCTATTGACCAGTCAGTAGGTCCAGACACTTTAATGGCCTCTGCTGAATTATCATGGCCACGTTTACGATTTGATTTAGCTGTGAAACTGATACGAAGTAAATTATTTGCTATCTAAGTAAATTACTGAAGTTTGGCTTGTGACACAATTCATCTGAAGGCTGGAAATTGAAATTGAACACTTCCATGCGCAAAACTTCTCATGCAAATTGAATGTAGTCAACTTATTAGCGTTTTTTTCTTATTTCATCTCACAGCGATCAGTGTTTTTTCTATCGATGCTGTTGGTATTTATGCTCCTGCTCAGTTTAACCAACTACTTACATTCCGTCCCACTCCTGGGCTAGGCTCAGAGTTTCCTTTGTTGCTACAGTGAAACCCCACAGGCGATTTTCAAACTGACGTTTGGGGAACAGTGTAATTTGGTCGTATGAAAAGTTGAATTCGCGAGTTTATCAAAAATTCTCAGCTATCGCATCCAGCGATTATCGCATATACAAAACCAGCTAATCGAAACGGGTAAAAAAGAGATCCAAATCGTCAGCTGACACATTTATCTTTGACACTGCCAAATTTGAGTACTTTGTTGTATTGTGCTGTGAGTTGATTGCTATTCCATCGGGAGAATGATTCGTTAATCTTATTTGAAACGGGATAAGGCAACTAATGGAGTGTTCTAACGATAAACCGTCGCATTTCAAAGCAAGCCACTGAAAATATCTTCGCAATTTTCATTTGCTTTCTTTGAAACGTGCGCAGGTAAGTTTGTTCCTCGTACTTGAACAAACAACTTTGGGTGCTTTGTTCAGAAATAAAGAAAATCCCTCAGCTATTCGTTTTATATTTTGAAAAGAATGAAGGGAAAGAATATTTCTGCTGTTGTTTGTTGAATATTGGGGAACTGATTAATGCAGATAAGGTACGTGATAATTGGTAACTGATACTTTAACATTGAAACTTTTGCGGATCATTTGCACATTTCGTTGATAGAAGGAAGCGTCCAACAAGTGAGAAGAATGAACGAAATTCTCAATTTTGTTTCCGTGATATGTTATGCGATTTAACTTCAGCACCTTCAAATCACATCAAAATTTTAGGCAATTACGATGAAGCGATAGCAATTTTAGTGGAGTTTGATCGACGGCATCCCGGCTATGCGATCGTTCCGTTACGTCGTATTGGCATCGAGAGACGTATGGCGATTAGCATGACTGCGAATGGGTCAGTTGTCTGAAAGCATTCCTAGAAAAGCAGTTGAGACGACACTCTTTCTGAATGTCAATTTCCTTATATCGAACATTCAGAAAACGCAAACAGACTTGTTTTGAAGTTCGATGCGAAATGTCAGTGAGAACAAATAAAGAACGTTCACGTGTTTCTTCCCCCAAAACCCTCGCGTAAATTAATCGTTCATTCAGAGCGACTGTTGACTATTCATCGGTAATTTCGCGTTTCGAACGTCTCATACAAGATGCACAAACACCCAGACGATTGGCCACATTCTATGCGATCAAACTGGCCAGATTCCATGCAAAGACGAGGAATGACCGAAAATTGGCCGAGAAAATACTTCGTGATGCGTTGAATCGTGATAAGGTATTGGCCAATCGGCTCTTGGCTCTTCAGCATTCAACGTTTAAATTTGAAGTGACACAAACCAACGCATTTGTCTTTCTTATCATTAGTGACATTTCTTGAAATATAATTTTTCAAGATGAAACTTTCGTGAATGATAACCGAAAATAAACAGTTGCTTCGAACAATTTCACTTCCATATTATAATCGCCTGATATTCCATCTCATCCAATTGCAGTCTAAAGTGTATGAATATTACTCATTTGAACAGTTCAGCACATGAATCAGTTTTGAAGAATCAATAGCTCACCAGTGCTAGGAGCGCTTATAAATAACGCTGTTTGCCGAGCAAATGATAATGATCTGTATGTTCTTATAGGATAGTCCCCAGCTGTATTTGGCTCTTATTGATCTGGCCTATGAGGCGCCAGATTTTGACGAAAAAACCATCTTGGAAGCGTTTGATAACGCTTTGGATAGTGAACATTTGAGCAGTGAGCAAAAACTAAAGTTTTCCCAACGAAAATTGGACTTCCTTGAAGATCTCGGCACTGATATCAAAATGTGTGTTTGAAATTTGTTTTGTTTTGTGTTTTCGCCGTTTCATGAAAGCAACCATTCCATGATTAATGACAGAAGTGAGCATCTTAAATTAATCATAGGAACATGATTAATTTAAGATGCTCAGTTCTGTCATTATCCATAAAACGGATGCTTTCTTCACCCATAACATGATATGAATTGAGTGATTCTCATCTTCTCCCTCTCACCAAATTTCTCTGATTTCAGCCTTCAACAACATTTGGAATATCACTCTCAGTTGCAAAAGTCCATTGAAAGTACACCTTCGTCATCGAAAAGAACGTCTGATCATTTAGCGAGGAGGTTAGCTGCTGATTGTTTTGTTGAACGCTTTTAGTGCAGTTTTCAGGTGATGTTCATTACTGAAATGTTTATAGAGCAAAAGGAGTACTTATTTTATCATATTTAGAGTCAAAATTAAACTAACTGAAGTATTCTTGTTTGGTGTAATTTCAGACATTTGTTTCAATCAGTATAATCGAAGAGACTGATTAAGACTAAAAATTTTGTGATTGTTAATCAAATTTATGAATTTTCATATCTTTGTTTTGAAATCATTAAGAAATATATTACAATCAGTATGAGTTCTTGGATTGTACTAGCGGAATCGCTCGTTCAATTAAACACTTATCGTATCTGAATATGAATGTTTGTAAGATATGTCACAAGTTTTCCTTATGTTTGGANGAGAAGTTGAGTGTCTATGTTATGAAAACGTTTGCCAAGGAGATGGAAGGAAGTAAATAGAATAAAACAAACATATTTGAGTGAACGGCATAAGTAACTTTGTTTATGTTGTTGTTCTTAGGAGTTTGAACAAGATGTTCACCTCTCAATAGAGTATTGTTTTGTGTGGTGTTATAAGGACATCTCCGATTATTTGTAGTACTACTCTTCTATTTAACACTTCTTGCGTTTATTTGACCAACCGAATACAAAATTGTTTATGCTATAACATTAATGAATGAGATGTCGCTTTGTTCTATCCCAAATACGTTTCCAAATCCTAAAAGGGCTATACAATGTTTTATGAAAGTTTTTAGCAAGACAATATTGATGTTTCATTTTCGAATCGTTTCCAGAAATGTGGTGGAACTGATGTTTTTTTTGAATTATTTTAGTGATCACGCAGATAAGAGAGTTTATACGGGCAATCCCGGCTATCCCGTACCGTACATACCGCCACAACAACCTCCTCAACAACCACAGTACTACGTTCCAGATGGTATGTTTGTTCAGCTGTTGATCCAAAAAACTGCAAATTATTTCTAGTACCACCTGATGTAGATTATACGAAAAATTTAAAAGTATTGTAGCCATTTCTGTACATTTTACAATAGTAATTGTAAGATGGAAATATGATTGTGATAAATTTCATTAGTTTTAGCGAATACATTCTCATTCTCATTTATATGTGACACTCCGGTGTCGAGAAGATTAATCTGTGTTAGCGCTTGAGCATGAAATTGATTCTGAGTATAAATCTGTGAATGGTCATCTCTGCACCAAAGCATTTACCTAAACGAATGCCTCTAAATGAATTTCAAATTTCAGTTTATTCAGCGTCTCCCATTCAGCAACCCCCAATGAACGTCATCAACCCGACTGCGTACTACTATCCAGCTCAACCGACCGCTGTCGTATCACAAATCCAACAAACTTATTAATCACAACTATCACGATTATATCTCCCACTCGTCTCGTCGTTCTAATCAGTCGTTCATTGATTATGGTGATTTCATGTCTA